TTCTAAGAAAAGCTGATGTCTTGATCGTTATACAGGGATAAACAAAAGTTACTATTTCACCCTCAACTTCTTAAGGCCCTGTGGCGAAGGTGAGTTGTTGAACTTATCTTCATTATGTTATGGATTGAAGTGTTATCCCTTCTTAATCTTAACACAGTGGTTCTTGATTCTCATTGACAACCACTTTTTGAGAGAAGATACAAGTGTTTTAAGAAAGTATGGCATTTTTTATTTTTATTTACAATAATTTAGAACCGTTCTCCAACCTTCTGCTTCATCATGTTTCGAATTGAAGTGTGATCCTTTTTCGTTCCTCCTCCACACAATGGTTCTAGATTCACATAAATATATTTTTCTTGATAGAAGATACAAGTGTTTTCAAAAAGATATGCAGTTTTTTTTAATTTTTGATAACAATAATTCGTCCAGCGTTGCCAGACACTCACGATTTTCCCTTCAAGGAGAATTTTAGGAAATTCTTCAAGACTACTAGAGAAATTTGATCGACACGATGCTACGGCGGTTGAATGCTGTAATTCAAACTCGAAGAGGGCATACCTACTCGTTATTGACTCCAGGTCTGCTTCTTGTTTCTTCTTTGTAATTAAGGTTTTCTTCGTCAAGTGCTAAGAAAATAAGGAAATATTTAGTGATATTGTAATATTAAAGTTCATGTAGGTTCCGATTATTGTTAATAAAAATTGGAAAATGCCATACTTTCGTAAAACCCTCGTATCTTCTCTTTAGAATGAGATATTGACGTGAATCATAGACTGTTGTGTTAAAAATGGATCACACATCAATCTAACTAGGTTCGACCACTCAATTTCGCCACAGGGCATTGAGAAACAAAGGGTGAAATAGTAACTTTGGTTTTTCCCTGTATAATTATCAAGTCATCAGCATTTCTTGGAAACCAATATTTAGGTTAACGTTCCGGCACATGAATCAACTATTTGATAGAAATTTCACAAAAATCAGACAAGGATTAAAAAAGTTACAAGGTGAACAGTTTGGTCAATTTTTTTGGTTGCTGGTGTAGATGAAAATAAGGTGATTTCAAAGAAGTATTATAAATAATAAATTGTGATTCTCTTGGTTCCTATCACAGAATGAATCATGAAGGCAATAAAGGCATGTATAAATGACTATTCCACTCTTGATCTCGAGAACCAATGAGAATCGACCATTTTCACGGTTTCTTCTGTACTGTTTTTTGTTTATTGAATTTTATCGGACTTAGCTCTACCAATACAGAAGCCGAATTCACCCACACGTGACCAACAAACCTCGTTTATCAGCGATACAATCTTGACATCGTGTCTGGTCAAGATTGCTTTGGATTCAAATCTGAGACAATAACCTAAGTACCTACTTCATTTTATTTACTTATAATTCGTGTTAGTGAGACATTTTGTACGAAAGGCGAGACGATTTCATTCCAGCTTGCTGCTCTAATTTCGCTCATGACATTGATCCAAAACTACTCGCCTACGGCTCACGAAATTACTAGGCAACACGCTGTCGTAACAATCACCGAATATTTCTGGCAAAATATTATCACTTGTGGTATACCATATGAAAAAAGTCAAAGAAGTGTAAACAAAACACCTGCCCTGCTAGCTGAGCAACTACTACAACTGAGATTTTTAGGACACGAAAAGTGCTGACATAAATTACCGTAAGGGTGTAGTATAATATTTATACTGTGGTGAGGCCACACGAGAAGATCCGGATTCCGGATCCTTCCAAACGCCGTACAAACAAGAGATGGATGAGGATGATGAGATCACAATCTCGATATGGACCAGGCCGAAAATCACACGTACACGTGCTTAACCTCGTTCATTACTTCTTGATGGCGGATGCCGATGGCATGGATGGGTCCTGTTGACCTTTTCGCTGGCGGTACTTTATTTCGTTTGTTCGGAAAGGTATTCGATTCGTAGTTATAAAGTGCTCAGAAAGACAAGTGGGTAAAAATGTAAAATCTCGTAATATAAACAAAACGAAAACTTACCGAAGGAGCATGATGATAGATTTACTGGATCATCACGAAGCAGTTCTCTCTGGACTCGAAAGCAATGAAGTTCTGTGAATGAGAGTAAAGAGCATGAATAAAATAGTAGGAGAGCCGTCTGCAAGTTTCGACCGTCATCTGATAACGAAATGTTATATACATCATGAAAATCATCCATATCTCAAAGTAGTTCAATGTAATTTAAAAAGAAAAATGATCTGTTTCGTACATGCTCAGTTCTCTTCTTCGCGCCTTTTTTTCTTCTTGATGTTACCTCAAGATCTATTGTGTCAGTTTAGCACATGTCACCCCACTAATTTTTGATTCGTGTCCGACGTGTCCAACTGAGTTTTAATCTTCTCCTGAAGATGCTAACATAGTTAGCGAAACACGTGTCGAGACGTTAAAAAATCGGTTTGGTTAGTGGTAAAACAGTGTAGTGTATTATCGTGCCAAAGGTTCCAGTCTTCGATATATGGTGTCACCATGTTTTTTTTGTCTAGATATGAGATGTGGAAAACTTCAAAACCATTTCGAGATATTCAAACAAAAGTACAGAAAATAAAGAAGTTATGTGCGATAACGGTGCACCCTCGGGTGCACTGTATGTTTTTTTTAATTGAAAACTTCTTTAGTCGCTTCCAGCACTTTTACGCGTTCACTTTTTTTAGAACAAACATTGGATCACCGTCATCGACACCGATCATAAAAATGCGAAATATTTTCCTTGGAATATTCTTTTCTTATAGTATGTCACTGAGAGGTGTCAAACAAAGAAGAGAATTTTCTAAAAAAAATATTTTGCATTTTTATATGTTGAGAACGGGAACAGATTCGTTTCGTGATTGAACTATTTTTGATTTGTAATTGTATTGTCATGTTCATGTTGAATTTGGAAAAATTTTTGCAGAAAACGTTTAACAATGAAATCGATAGTAGGTTCAATGAAGAGTCTTAAATCAGCCTTCAATTATTATTAGGGCTGCGCGATATTGGATTTCAGTTATCGGTTATCGATAAGTTGAAATTTATTGATAAGTTCGATATATCGATATTTATCGATTTATCGATAGTTATCGATATATCGATATTTAAAAACTTAAATATCGTTATTCGATATATTGATATATTTATCGATATATCGATATTTTTTCCCAGCCCTAGTTATAGTTATCATTATTAATAATATACAGTGTGTCCACGTTAACGACTTACCACCCCTGTAAAATCGTTATTATCTGATCGATTTTGAAAAACTTTTTATTGATGGATAGGTATTTGAAACGTCCATCCACTAAGAGAGTGACTTTATTTTTGGACTGTTATCGTGTGGCCAACTGCGACCAATTTCATTGACTCATATTCCGAAAAGTACTATTAGGGATTTTTTTTTACGGATAATAATGATGGATTCGGAATCAGGAACAATTGAAATATACAAATATACCTGTACCAATTTTCATTATTCAAATATATACAGTCTGTCCAAAATAAGGTTGCACAACATGGGGATCTCGGAAACGGTATAGGAGATACGGAGTCGTTTAAATGCGCATTCGGAGGCTCATACCAACAGCCCTCAAAACTTTTCAAACTTGTTTTTAGTTTTTCAGTTATATCGAAAAAAGTGAATTTTTGGAATATCTATTTTTTTTCTCCGTTATTATTAGATACAAAAAAACTGAAAAAACTTTTTCATGGCAACTGTTGATGACGTTTAACGTAGTGATAACCGATTTTTTTATGCGACGTTTTGTATCCGTAGAAACATCCTCAACTTTTGTTTTTTAAATACGGTCCTGATAATTTTTTCACAGATTCTGAAAACTTTTTTATTCTGAATTCAACCATGTATAAGGTGGTTTCGATGTGTTTCGACCTATTTTTAGCCATCATCAATGTGTTTTCGAAATTCTAAAGAAAAAATGCCATCATTTCCACTTGTTTCTGATCATTTAGTGTCAAACATTGAGGGATTATATAGTTATTCAATACCGAAAAGTGGAAAAAAAATATTTCACCATATTATTCAATGCAGCGCTTCAAATTAACTATGAATTCTTACACGAATTACTTTAATAACTTAATTTTGGCAATACCAACAGAAACATTCATAACAATTGTTCAAAATGATGACCATTATTCTCTAAATAAAGATATCCTCTTCTCACAGTTGCTTCTAAGACATTACTGAGCAATCTTATCTTGGACACACTATATCGATATATCGATAAATATCGATATTTAAAAACTTAAATATCGTTATTCGATATATCGATATATTTATCGATATATCGATATTTTTTCCCAGCCCTAATTATTATGGTGTACTCAATATTCTTATATTCCTTCTATTTGAGATTTGGTTCTGCTAGCTTTACGGTCAAGCTAGCAAAACTCATGATTTAAAAAAAAACAATGTGCGAAAAAATCGGCAATAGGCTAGGATCAGAGCCTTAAATCAGCCTTGAATTAGGGTATAATAAGTTTTGTGATTGAACTTATATTTACGAAGTGGTACTGCTAGCTTAACTAACGTTGAGCTAGCAGAACCCACGTTTTCTTGCATGAATCGAAGAGTAATAAATTCGGCAAGAGGGTGAAAAATTAGCCTTAAATTGGCCTAAAATTATGACCGAAGAAATATTCGAAAAATTCAAAGTTGTTCTGCTAGCTTAATGGAGTTTAACAGAGGCCAGTTTCACAAATCGAAAATAATAATCTATAAGCTCGACGATACAATTCATAAGTTACTTAGGTTTTCACTTCTATTAGCAGTCCCCAAAGGCTGCCCCCGCACTATTTTTGAACACTATAGCATACATAAAGTGTAACAACTGGAAAACTTTGATAAGTAATAGAAAAAAGCTGCATTCAAACTAAAAATCGATTGATTTGTCGAAAAGTTGTGACAACTTGAGAAGTGTCGAAACCTCGAGCGGTCCATTTGTTCTTCTGAGCTCTTTATAAAAAGCATTCTTCAGTTCGGGTTCAAACTAGAGGGGCCGTAAATAAGGTCAGCAGTGAGCGCCGCGGCGAAAGTCGATGGTTTTGTTTCTCGTCTCGGTCGTAAATTATTGGAATCCGTGATGTGGATGACCTCTTCGATGGGTTTGGATCGGTTTCCTGGTCGATTGGTCTTTGGTAGAAGTCCATATTGCTCAAAGGGGAGTGACCTTTTTCATAGGAAGGAAGGAAGTCATCTCTACAAATTTTAATGGTGTTGATGTTACACAATCAGAAGGAACATGTTTTATTAGTTCTACAATACAAAAAGATTGATATGGAAATATAACATGATTTGTTCTTGACTTACTTGGAGTTGAGAAAGTGTGATGCTAGTGACTAGAGGGCTTTCACGCTAAGTTGATAGTGACGTCAATATGTCAACACATACAGTGTTGCCAGTTGAAAGGAAATGACTGAATGACCAACCGCCTGTTTATGGATATGTCTAGTGTTACGATCGTCGGACGTTATAATGTTTTTTGCAACCAACTCAAAAGCTGTCCATTTATGTTTCAAAATCAGCACTTGAATTCTTATAGAGAATAATAACTTGAAGAATGATTTATTAAACAACAACATCAACAAACAATATTAACTTTTTTTCTTACCAATACACAACTATGGCTTGAATTCATTTTTCTTGATAAAACTGATTAGTATTCACATTTACTGAGTGAAAATAATAAAAACTTCGAATACAATTTCGAGGTTATCTAATCGTTTTGAATGTTTTTCAATTACTGTAAATTGGTGAAATGAAATAGAAATTCGATCAATTGAATTTATTTCGTGGAAAAAAAAAAGTGCTGTTTCTACTTATATTGGAAATTATGAAATTGACAACTAGGGTTGTTCTTACTTCAATATTCTCAATATAATTCATGAGGAAAACCCACAAAAACTCATGAAACCAACACTATATAATACACTATATAATACAATTTTCTATAATCCTAATCTATAGAAATAATCTTACACTAGATAATACAATTTTCGAACCCCAATAGCACACTAAAAAATTTCAAATGTCATTTGATCTTCTTCACTATCATCAGAATCATCCTCTCCTACATTTATAATAACTTGTGGAATATCTTGTGAATCTAAAATATTTTCTCTCTCCCACCAACTTTGAATTATTTGTTCAGTATGGCGAACACTGTTGGCCCATATTTCTGGAGTATGCCTCAGAGACTCTTTCCACATATCCAGAGATGTTACCACAGAACTCCCATGCTGGCCAACATGATCTCTATAATACGTGTTGGTGATCTCCCATATCATTTCAATTGGCTTGAAAATACAGTGGTATGGTGGAAGTCTCAGTACCTGACCATAGTGTTCTGCAAGAGTTTCTGCCATATAAACAGGGGGTGGCTTGTTTCTAGTTAAAGAATATTTTAGCCCTATAGAATATTTTTATATTTCAAATCGCCTTGGCGCTTACTCAAAGAAAATCCGTAGTAATAGAAAAACTTCAAAAAAGATCAAATTTACACAAATTTTAATGAAACACTCATATTTCACTAACAGACTAATTTCTGTGTGAAAAATGTCACATGTATTTTATTGAATCTTGTATAAGTCAAGTTTTCTTTATAAATAATTTCAGTAATTATATAGCCTACAATTTAACCAAATTTAGTAACTGTGGCTTCAACATTCCATACTCAAACTGAATTCTGTTGTTGGTAAGCCATTCTTGTATGTCTGTTTTTTTTTGAGGCTGCAGTGGAAATTTAATTCATCATTGTACTGTGGTAACTCGCATTATCCATAACAATTCCGAAGGTTTTTCAAAAATTTTCAACAATTGATTTTCCAACCAGTGGAGGAAGTTATGTTGGTTCATTTCTCCATGATAATCTTCATGTTTAGTTTCTGGAGAAAATACTAATTCTGCACCAGGAATGAACCCACCTCCACATCCATCATGTAGGACGATGAATCTTATATGAATCACATAATGCAATTTATATTTATTCATGAGAATCATGAAAAATACCTGGAACCTCCTACTTTGTTTTTTTTTACACTTTTGACATTGGAGTCTTGCCATGAGTGTCCTAATGTACCATCCTGAAAGATCCAGGTCTTATCAAGAAAAACAAATTGTCCTAAACCTTTATTTTTCAATTGGCAGTATGTCTGCAGGAACGTAATACGCTTGGATCATATTTCCTGAACTTGAAGCCAATATTTTTCAACACTTTCCAGAAAGATGTGATGCCTCCATTAAAGAGATAATGTTCAGCAAGTTTATCTCTCAATGTTTTTAATGTAATGTGTTTTTCTATTCGAAATCAAACACATAGGTATTACCTAATAGTATATTATTAAACGAGCGGTAATGTAGGTCATAACTCACGCAGATGAAGTTTGCAGCACGAGCCACAGGCGAGTGCTGTAATTCATCAAGTGAGTTATGACCATTACCGCAAGTTGAATACTATACTTTATCTACGACTATTACAATAAATCCTAAGTTATACAAGTACAGAGAAAGAACTTTATTGACAAATCTTGATATACTTAATACAAATTTTAGATTCAATCACTCGCATATTGTTTATTGAAAAATTAAGTGTGACGTTAACAGTAAACTGAATATGTTGGAACTGAATTATGGAAGTTTATTGTTTCTTTTTGTGTTTGTTGCATATATGTTGTTGATGTACTAACTGATTGAGCTGTAATAGAACTGTATATTTTATTTGCAGTATCTGTCATATTCTTTTCGGAATCATCAAGGTACCCCTCAGCCACAGTAGTTGATCGCCAACCGCCATGGCGTTTCAGTGCCGTACGGCATCTATTAATAAAGTTGCCGACGAGCGGCGAAAACAATGCCCTGTATATAAATTACAGTCTGGTAATTTCAGAAATGTGGCAATGTCTTTCCCCATTGCTCAAAATTTATCAATGCCATTCTTTGTGAGTGATATTTTCCATATGGAAATTCAAATGATAATCCATCTTCACTATCTGAATTCATCAAAAAAATCACAATAATTGTATCAGCTCAGTTTGAAAACGTCAAAATTATTCAGTTGACATCACTCCCCTCAATAACAATAATGGACTGTTCCCTTTCGGCCAACTGGCTTGTACAGAAGTACTGAGCCATCTTGATTTTCGGTTCGTAAATAATTCCAAGAGCCTTTCTCGATGTAAGTATTATAGTGAGTTATAGTAGCGAGAGTTATTATAACTCACGCTGTTTGTTTATAGATACTATTAATTGTACAAAGGCAGTTGAATCATTGATATATAATTTAATAGGAGTAGATAAAATGATTATTAATTTGTATTACTGTTCTTATACATGTCATAGATACAATTCCTAATTGCGACTTGTCACCATCATTAAGGTCTAAAATGGGTGTTTCTCTTTCTCTGTTCTTTTTGGGGCCAGCCAAATCATTACCATGTTCCTGTTTGGCAGATATTATCCATACAGTAGTGATACTTATTTTTAATGCAGCAGCTACTCTCTGTAATTCAGACAAATCATATTGAAAAGGAATATTCTCAGATATATTATAAACATGAAAAAATGGATACATTTGAATAAATACATTGAGAATTCGCATTCTCTATGTGATGAAATTATTAATTCTTTCTCGGCATATTCAACAGAAAACAACTACTTTCCTGGCTATATGCCACGACGAACATTGAATTATATCAATTGAACATACACGATAGGAATTTGAGCATAAAATGAATATCGTCTGAAATTGAGAATTGACATTCTCTTCCAGAATCGGATGAATACTATGATGAATATAACGATATAAAAAATATATTACTTACCAAATTGGTATGAAAATTGGAATGTATGGGAGAAATATACTAGTATACATACTCTGTTCTTGTTGAGTCGTGAATTTATCAAAAATCATCCGTATCCATGATGTTTGGGATATATGCACATCTCTTTCACATAGGTTAGATGATTTTGATTCGAATAAAATTCATTTCGAGTTTCAAACTCTCCTCAGTAACCTGAAGTCCAGTCATTCCTTCAGCCATTCTTCATTTAATACACAATTTTCACATTTCTATAATAATATAACTAAAACTATAGTGGAACTGACATCTATCTGAGAATGAAAATTTGTTGACTTATCTCCAGTCATGTGGGTGGCAATTGTTTTAGATGTATGACAAACTGACATTTATCATACAGGGCGTGGAAAGAAATTCTGAATTGAGAAAAACCCAATCACGAATCTGCGATTGAAGGTCTATAAAAATAACAAGTTTCCATCGTTCAAGTTTGAACCCCTTGATTGGGTATGAAAGTATTGAAAAGGAATATTCTCAGATATATTATAAACATGAAAAAATGGATACATTTGAATAAATACATTGAGAATTCGCATTCTCTATGTGATGAAATTATTAATTCTTTCTCGGCATATTCAACAGAAAACAACTACTTTCCTGGCTATATGCCACGACGAACATTGAATTATATCAATTGAACATACATTCCAATTTTCATACCAATTTGGTAAGTAATATATTTTTTATATCGTTATATTCATCATAGTATTCATCCGATTCTGGAAGAGAATGTCAATTCTCAATTTCAGACGATATTCATTTTATGCTCAAATTCCTATCGTGTATGTTCAATTGATATAATTCAATGTTCGTCGTGGCATATAGCCAGGAAAGTAGTTGTTTTCTGTTGAATATGCCGAGAAAGAATTAATAATTTCATCACATAGAGAATGCGAATTCTCAATGTATTTATTCAAATGTATCCATTTTTTCATGTTTATAATATATCTGAGAATATTCCTTTTCAATACTTTCATACCCAATCAAGGGGTTCAAACTTGAACGATGGAAACTTGTTATTTTTATAGACCTTCAATCGCAGATTCGTGATTGGGTTTTTCTCAATTCAGAATTTCTTTCCACGCCCTGTATGATAAATGTCAGTTTGTCATACATCTAAAACAGACAAATCATATTTGGATCATTCTGACAACACAAAATATCATTATTAATACCATCATTCAACTTACATCTCTCACAGCAGTCAGAAGAAGTAATGGGCCATCGTTATCACGTTCATTTTCGAAATATTGTATCAATGATACCACCATCTTCTGTGCCTCCGCACTCAATGGTTTAGCTATTTTGAATGAATCAAATTTCTCCAATGATCCACAAATAAATCACAAACAATTCCTTGAAAGTACAAATTGTCAGTAATGAATAATTCGCAGAGATCAGCTGATCACAACAAATCGCTTCTAGAAATGTCAAATAAATCTGGCATCGGTGTACAGTTTTGCCAACTTGAATCGATAACGCGGTTCGAAAGTTACTAGTATTTTTCGATGTGCAATTTTGGCACGACATTGTTACCAAGTATTGCGCAACTATCAACCCAGCGTGAAAGACCTTAGCTGTTAAATTGAAGGGCCCCGTGCCCTTGAAAATATCAATAAAATTGATGGGGCAAACAGCCTGCACGTGTTAAAATCTCACTTAAATCTTAGGAGGAGGGTAGGAGAACTGTGGTAGGAGAGAGTTGAGCAAACCTGAAAACAATTATTTATGAATTGGTGGCTAGTCCAAATCTATTGATATTATCAAAATGTTTGAAAAAAAAATGCTAATCCGTTTTCACTAATTTTGCTGAAGTGTTTGTTTTCGCAGTGGACTAAGAAATTGTGATTGATATTTTTTTTGCTCGATAAAGAAGATAATTTTTAGTTGTATATTATGAGAAAAGAAACCTCAAATCGTCCTAGGAATACGAAAGTACAGGGGTGTGGGGTGGAGCAAATTGTAACACACTGTATATAGCAAAACAACGTTTGCCGGGTCGCGATTTTACTAAATATAAACTATTGCAGCACAAGACACGCCCCCTACTACGACATTGCAAAATATAATCGAACCCAGCACAATCCTGCAAAATCTAATCTTTGACAGCACAACGTAGCTGATTCATATAAATAAATCGATTGAAAAAGTAGCACATACCACGTTATATCTCATCTTCAAAGTACTTTACTTAGGCAAAACTCAGAGACTATTTATCCTCAACGAACTAACCTATCCCTGATTGCAATATTTCTGAGGAAGGAAAACCGAATGGAGTGTAGAAACACATTGATTAATAATATATTTCAAAAGTTGAGTTCTTCAACAAAATTGAATAAAATGAGACTGTTTATCCTAAACGCACTAACCTATTTGACTTCAAATATTTTATGAAAAAGGAAAACCAGAATGAAGTAAAAAAACATTGGTGAAAAAAAAAGTTGCAACATTTGGGTGTATGAATTTACTGCGTACAAGAGATTGACAACGAGAAAGCTTCAGTTCTTGCGTTGGAGCACAGTATGAGATATGGCGTATTATGGTGGGCGTGGTTTGTGCTGCAATAGTTTATATTTAGTAAAATCGCGACCCGGCAGCGATTTTCCTAAATATACTGCACGCTAGCACAAACCACGCCCACCATAATACGTCATATCTCATACTGTGCTCCAACGCAAGAACTGAAGCTTTCTCGTTGTCAATCTCTTGTACGCAGTAAATCCATACACCCAAATGGTCTACTGGTTAGCGCTGTCGACTCTCAGTCTGAAGGTTCATAGTTCGAATCGCTGTGAACTCGAACTTTTTTTTGCAACTTTTTCTTTTCACCAATGTTTTTTTACTTCATTCTGGTTTTCCTTTTTCATAAAATATTTGAAGTCAAATAGGTTAGTGCGTTTAGGATAAACAGTCTCATTTTATTCAATTTTGTTGAAGAACTCAACTTTTGAAATATATTATTAATCAATGTGTTTCTACACTCCATTCGGTTTTCCTTCCTCAAAAATATTGCAATCAGGGATAGGTTAGTTCGTTGAGGATAAATAGTCTCTGAGTTTTGCCTAAGTAAAGTACTTTGAAGATGAGATATAACGTGGTATGTGCTACTTTTTCAATCGATTTATTTATATGAATCAGCTACGTTGTGCTGTCAATGATTAGATTTTGCAGGATTGTGCTGGGCTCGATTATATTTTGCAATGCCGTAGTAGGGGGCGTGTCTTGTGCTGCAATAGTTTATATTTAGTAAAATCGCTGCCGGGTCAGCTAGTGTATTAGTAGGTATATAAAATTTCCGTCTTAGAAAACTCAAAAAAATCACCTCACATACTTGAATATGTATCATCCTGTATATCGAAATGATACTTTTATTTTTATTTATAGAAACGAGGAGACAAAATCTCAAAAATCTATATAGAGTAATGAATATTCCACCTCTTCGACTGCTGATTAGTATTCAACTAATACCATCAGTAATTATTATCGATTCGAGATGAAATCTCAGCCAATATATTTCTTCATATTTTCTCTTCTCTTCTCTCTGGAAGACCAGTTTTCGAGGCACGATGCGACGATGCCGGCGCGCCAAGAATTTGCTTGCCGGCCGGTCTTTCCTTATTCGGTCGTACGTGTTCGAAGGGCATGGGCGTGCGAGCGGGAGGTGCCAAAGAAAATGGAAATTTGATTGAGTATTACTTATTATGGAATATACAAGTGGATGCTCACGATATAATGGACATATTTCGCAGTGCTAGAACAATACCAGAAGAACTAGAAAAATGTCGATTTGAGAAATCTGGTTTAAAATGATGCTGATAAAATACATATAATTGTATGTACTTCAGGGCATAAAAGATCACTTTATCCCTCATCCAAGTGATTAAAGTAGCATTTATTTCTCAAATGCCATAGCAACCCTTTCAAGGCACATGTCAGCAAACTCAACATTTCAAAACTAGAGTGCATCTACGAGTACGAAAGTACACGAAAAAAAAAAAGGAATTGTTGAATCAAGCAAAAATTTAATTGAATATTGAATAAAGCATATATGCACGACAAAATATAATCTTGAACTGAGTAAATCTATATCTTGTTTCAGAGCGAATTTGGAGTTTGAATTAAGTAAATATGTCTTGCATAAACTCTGGATCTTGTTCAATCAAGCATTTCCATGAATTGTTTATGAAGAAATATTGAATTGGCTCAAACAATCATTTTGTTTGATTCAAAATAGCAAGATATTGATTCAATCAAATATTTAGTTGATGCAATGGAATATTTGGTTGATTCAAAGAAATATTTGGTTGATTTAATAAATTATTTGGTTGATTCAACAAAGAAACAAAAATAGTACCTATTAAGAAAATTCTGAAAATGGAGCAAAGCAAGTATATATATAAAGTAAAAACAAACCAACAAAAAAGTAACACTCCATTCAATTATATAAATAATATTCACCACCATGAAACAAGACAGCTGATTAACAATAACCTCTATTTACCAAACGTAAGATCCAACATAGCCTTAAATAATCCAATTAACCGAAGTGTAGAAACATACAATAACATCCCTATAAACATAAGGAATATAGACAATTACAAACATTTCAACGAAGAACTTAAAAGATATATCCTAGATAACCAATGAATTTAACTAACAGAATTTACTTACCACAATACCGCATTTAAAGAAAACTGTACTCCGATACCAGCATTCTCTTTGCTGATTAGGAGTTTTTCATCATCCCTATTATAGATGTATGTACTATTTCAAACTGTGAAAATTGTATTATAATACTATCAAACACTGAGCTACTGTTATATTGTAACTTGTATTTATTTTGGATTGTAAAATTTGTATTTCTTGATTTTTTTTTGTACTTTATGTATATTGTAGTGTAATGAAGAGTACTGTACTAATAAAGTTTGATGATGATTAAAAAAAAAAAAAAAAAAAAAAATTTGATTGATTCAATAAAATATTTTGTTGATTCAATGAAATATTTCGTTGATTCAAGAGAAACTGTATTTCCATTCGAAAAATTGTTCTGTTGAACCGAATTCAGCATTAATTCGGGAATTTTCTGGAATTTGACATCGATAGAATAAACTAAACTAGGAAACTAGTCGACTTCTAGCATAGATCTCTAGTCTTCACTTCTCTCCAGCTGATGCAAAACTATTTCGGATTGCTAATCATCCTAAGTTCGATTTATCCAGCTGATATTTAAAACACAAAGAATCAAGCTTCACGTATATAATGAATTCGAGGCAGGCATAAACGAGGCGATAAGATCGCCATCTAGTTGCGAAAATGTAACTTGTTGAATGAACAAAATATTTTATTGATATTACATATTTCGTTGCTCTATTCAAGCAACTGATCCGTTCGAAACGAGTTCATCGCTACATCGAAATTTTGTGATAGAATTGCAATTCCGCCACTGGCGTAGAATTTGGGAGGGATCAACCAGTTAATTGCCCCTGTCGTACGCCTCTGGTAATAGCTAGAAAAGTTCATTTCACATAATTCAGTTGGGTGTATAATACCTACACTTCCCTGCAAATATGAAAGTGTTACGTTAAATAGCTTTGAAGAACTGGGCAAAAAACATTTCAAAATTTTTTAATAAAACACCCTTTAACTCAGACAGGAGACATATTTTATGTAGATGATTTGGGTTAAATCTTCATATTTTGAGTTCGGGATTCTATGGTTGAAATATTTCCAATAAGTAATGAAACACCCTGTATACAGGGTGTTCCTTAATGATATGCTAATATTCAAGGGGGTGATTCTTCGCCCCATTGCAAGAATGAAACTTCATATGAACATATGTTGTAAACGTCCTAACTTTTGAGATACAGGGTGTCATTGTTGAAAATATGCATAGATTATTTTTTTTGTCCACCCTGTATAGCTTTTCGTGATGACAACATTTAGTCTGCTATGTGACTGAATCGGCATACACATTTCAAAATGTTACATACGGTGGTTATCCAGTAATGCATGTCCTGAATGGAGTACTCAAACATCAAAATTTATTGAAGTCTGGTCTCGTTTTTCCGTTTTTCTCGAAAACGAAGCGTTCTATCGAGTATCAACAAGAGGATCTTTCTTGTACATAATTAAATAGCCTTTTATTGCATTGTATGAAATTTGAAAATTTTTCGTCGTTGCTCACTTTTAAGTACAGGGTGATTCACCATAAATGTCCCCCCTCTAGCTCACTCATTTTTGAACCTATTTGAAAATTTGAAAAATAATCTGA